GACACAGCTCTGTCATGTGACAGTCTGGATATGGATCTTACAGTTCTTTCTGTGGGATATAAAAATCACTAGAAAAGATCATCTGAGTGAAATGATGAAAATTTTGTGTAGCTTTTCTAGAACTTTTTCAGAATGAATAGAAAATTATTTTCTTTAAATTTCAAGAGAGTTTCAAAATTTAACTTTGAATAGGCGAATTTAATTTTTATTAGATAATTCTTGGTGGATAGTTCTCTGTTAAGACAAGGTAAATAACCTTCCTTTCCTTCAGAAAAAACAACCAACCTAAAATATCTTTCTGGTTAAGGAGCTCACTGTATTAAACTTTATGTAACATTTATTACTCTTAAAACTCATAAGACATTTAACTGCATTTACGTTCATAAATTCTGTGTAAATTTTAGTATGTATAGTCCTTTTAAAGAATCACAAGAATAGTTCTGTATATCTATAGTTTCATGCCTGCATTGCAAATTGTCACCTTGACTGGTGTCACTATTTTAGATTATCATTTTTGTCACTAGCATTTAATGCAAATTGACATCTATAAAAAGTGAATTGTACTTCATAATTTAGGAAATTCTACTTTATTCAGTGTCTTCTATCTAAAGTGCAAAACAGAAAATTTAAATGAACAGAAGCGTTGACTTTAAGCTTTTGTATTTTTTCAAAAACAGTCTTCTATGTGAAGTGAAATTAGTAAGAGAAACAAGGTATTCAATAAACATTTAACCTCCCTATTATCAGCTTCAGGAATGCAATGGTTTAAGTATGCAGCTTCATTTGGAATTGAGCTATCAGTTAAACTTCTTCATGCTTGGACACTGCATACATTATAACTTCTGAAAATGCAAGGAAAAGACCCACAGCTTTTCTACAGGTACACAGATCTAGAAATAAATGAATACTTCTAATGAAGGTAAACTGGTTTAATTTAATTTGTGATTAAGTTGAGGGTAGTTTATAACTTCCAAGCTGAAAAGTATTACTAGTTCTGTGTTACTGACCAAAGAACTGATAGTGCTATGTATCATGATGTCCTCAGAAAAAAAGATGCTATAAGTTTAGACCAACCAGATATGTGTGAGTATATATATATTATATATATATACACACACAGGTACGTCATGATATATATGACATATATGAACATACATACATATATATGCACACATGTATCATATATATTTGAACTGGTATGCATATAGTTATGTACCATTATTATATATGGATCAAAAAATAGGTTAATAATTTCTTTGATTTGAGCCAAAAAATAGAAAGTCCTATCTTACTTTTGATTCGTTAGCTCTGCCTTTACCTGTTCCCTCTGTTATGTAATTTACCAGCTTTTTGACTGATATTTCAGTTTCTCCACAGTCTTTTCCTCTATTAACATTTCCATTACTATACTTCTTGAAAATTATAGAGCTAACCCTGTTTTTTCCCTGCATTTTTTTTTTTTCCTTCCCTCTGCCTCATGTGTTGAATTATAAAGCAGTAAGCATTGTATCAAGCTGGGTCTGAGAAGCTGGGTGGGTCATTCTCTTTCAGTGAAATATGGAAATAGACCTTTGTGCAAACACATAATGCCATTTGATATTTTTGTCATCAACATCAAAGATATTCTGGCATACTTTATCCTGCAACTGCCTAACATCCTGTATTTTCTTTCCACTTCCAATTCTTGAACTTAGTCTTTCAGACGTTAACTCCTGCACATACCAGTTACATGACAAACACATTATAGGCAGGTATTCACTCTGTCTAAGCATACCCCTTAGGACCTTAAGAATACATTTACATTACATTTTTTCTCTGGTTCAGAACAATGGGTTGAAGCCATAATCCACTGTGTAAACTGAGACTTGGAAAATCTTCAGGTCCTCTGGGACCATTCACTCTAGACAGAGTGAATTCTATCTACCTTAGGCCTATATGCTATATAAATATATTTAAGGCTTTCCCATCATCAGTGAATATTTTTTAACATTTATAGCATTTTCACTCAGACAATGTCAATGGCAAAATTCTCTTTTCAAAGTGGGAGGGAGGAAAAATATGTAACCTGCCTCCACTCTAAGATGCACAGGAGTTTGCTAGGTAATACCATGTCCTGTTATCCTTCTTCCCATGCTGATCATCTTGCAAATACATGTTTGACTATGGATAGTGAGATCAGTATATTTACAAAGTTAAACCCCAAGGCTCAAGTCTAGGCTTAACAAACAGTGTAAATCAGACTAAAATAGCATCTTAGACACTTTTTCAATAGTTCACAGAAAGGGCAAGACAATTTAGGATATCTACCTGAAAAGGCTGTCCTTCTCACTTAACTAATACTGGAAGCCTAATTTTCTCAATGAGGCACTTAAATTATTTGCTTTGGAAAGACAAGATGAGTATCAATCTTTGTTTGGTGTCTTATTTATTTTTATTTATTTATTTAAAATCACAGTTCCACTGGATTTGATACCTAAAGTTTAAATTAGTCTATCATTGATTTCCCATTTCCTTTCTCTCTCCTCCTCTGTTTAGCCTATCAAGTCTTTTTATGAGGCAATTCTGCACCCACTTTTCCCATTTCTTTGCTGAATTTATAATACACAATCTGTATTACATTTTTACCTTCTTCATTTTTTCAGTCTCTTTCTGTCTTCCTTATATGCGTTTTGGTTTTGCTTCCTCACACTTCACCTTCCCTAAATTTCATTTGTGGTTTTTACTGCCTTTCTGGCTACTTATTACTCTTTCGTATTCCATACTGGTTTATGGCCTGCTTGATGGGGGTTATAGAATCACTGCTAGTTGAAATAATAGTTCTGGATCCCACAGTCTACCCTTTCTGGTTTTTGTGCCTTACCATCACAACTTACTACAAACACTACCACTACCATAGCTTCCACTCATCTTCCTCTGACAGTGCTAAAACTACCTAACATAGGACTTCCTACACTACGTATTTTCACTACAACAGTCAATTTCGATTCTCTCATTTCTCGTTTCTACATATATCAGCTTCTACAAACATAGTTCTACTAAGGATTATCTGAAGACAGAATAAAGTGAATTGTATTGCCTGTTTGTGACTTTAGTTACGATGAGGAACATTTGAATTTTTTTTTATGATGTCAACAAAAAGAGGCGGGTGCCTATTTCTAATCTCATATACAAATCCAATTCAAACAGCTCTAGCATTATCACTACATGGATATAACAAAACACATATTTAGAAAACAAATGAAAAAAAATATTTCTTACTGCAGACCAATTTCTTATTAAAAAGGGCATATACTAAAATAATTATTTTATGGGATTCCTAGGGAAAAAAAAAAATCAAATAAAAAAAGCACTTATATTCTATTAGCTAAGCTTCTCAAGAAAGAATATGTGACTCTTACACAATTTCAAATAAAGAAAAAGAACATGTCTACTGCTTCCCAAACAACAGAATTTAATCATTTTCATCATCACCAGTAAAATCCCAGTTTATACTTCTTTCCTCATTTTACATGTTGCGTACAAAAAGCCCCGATTTCTGAAATATAAAAATTCAAAAGTTATTCCACAGAAAACAAAAAATCCTCTAGTGGTCAAATGCCTTGTGTGTTCCATTTTTTCTCCTGTAAAAAAAACATATCAGTTTTTCTCCAGTCATAACCTCAACATTCCTGAACAGCTTTACTTAAACTATAAAGGTATATTTAAGTCTATTGATCAAAAGCATCTCAAGAATTATCAATCCAAAATTATACATATTTTTTTTTAACTGATCACAAAGGGTTTTCAATCATGGCTCCATCTCTCTTGTCACTGGGAAAAGTTTCTTCTTTAGCAAGCAAACCCTAATGTTTTATTAATATTTTTCTGTGTTATAGCTGAAGTTGCTGCATTCTTACTCCCCTTAGGAATAGCACTGAAACTAATAACAGATTCTGTAAAATTCTGGAACAGTAGCACATTAAAGGACTTGCTGCTGATTGTAACTCAGGGGAATGAACATGATAACCTAGCATGTCTTTTCCATTTCTATTTTTCATGATGTTGTAATGATTCTATCACACCAAGTGATTTTAGCAGAACAGATATTGAACAGTTCAGTTTTCTATACCTTACAAAAGTTGTGTTCTGGTGGATATATCCTATAGATTTTAAACTCCTTTCTTGAAGGAAGAAAATCTCATCACTCTACAGTTAAGAATAAAAAATTATATTTTTGAAACATCACAGAATTATTTATGCAGTTGTATTAGAGCTGTTTTCTCCTGTATATATATATGATATACATAACAGAAAGACTTTCCCCCCCCTCCCAAGGAAACAATATAACTGCCTTTTGCTTAATTTAAAAAAATAATAACACCTCCTCCTGAATGAATATTTCTTTGAGTAGAGAATGGGAATACAATGCAGCTTGATTAATGATGACAATGGTATGGACAATAATGACAAAAAAAAAAAAAAAAAAAAAAAGCAAGCAAAAAACAACTGTCCAAAAACAGGCTATGGGAAAATATGCTCTCAGTCATGATGAAACTTTTGCTACAAATACATTGTAAAGTGCATCAGTCCATGACTGACAGAATGCTTATAGCCTTTATTTCCTAACATGCTGGATAAATGAAAACACATAATGCTTTGGTTAAAAAAGAAGTAATACCTTGATTGACTGATTGATTGATTGGTTGATTGATAAAAATGTCCTTTTTTTCAAAATAACTGCATACAAACCTGAATTTTCTCACTAACTTGTGTAAGTTTCAGGGTTTGTTTTCCTGTTCCTCTGCCTTTTATTTGCTTTATTTTTTTCTTTTCCCTAGTATTATTTTGGTAAATAATAAAAATGTACTTTAACTTTCCATATATTCTTAGCGATCTGACAAGAACAACGTAATCAGCTACTGGTACAGAGTGCTACAAAAGCGTAAAAGTACCTAGTTTTCCATTACAAATTACATTCCTAAAAAATGTTGTATCTTTTTTAAAGAGATTTTTTTCCTTACCTAAGCCATGCCTATGTGTTGACATTGGTGGTAATACAGTCCAAGCCTTGGTCTTTGGGTTGTAACATTCAACGGTGTTTAACGTCTTTAAACCATCCCGGCCTCCAATGACAAACAGCTTGTCATCGATGACAGCAACACCAAACTGAAGCCTCCTGCCATTCATCACTCCAGCCTGAATCCATATATTTGTTCTGAGATCATACTTTTCAATAGTTGTGGCACCTGATGAATACAAAAATGCATACAAAATTGGCACTGGCTCTCTTCTGTTTTGTTTTGGTGGGTTTTTTTTAATTAAAATGTGAAAACTTTAATTTTATTTTTTGATTACTTACAACATCTTGACAAACAGGTTTTGTTTCTCTACAGAAAGTAGTCTCTGGAATATATAGATGTGTGTGTGTGTGTGTGTAACTTTTTCCCTCCCCAAGGAAAGTGTAAAAGCCCCACACCCTAAATGGCCCCATTAGAATCAAAGTATTACAAGACTGAATAACAGTAAGCTCTAACTTTATGATTTTTTTACAGTTCATTGGCATAACTAGGATAACGAATCTTGTTATACGTGATTCCAATTTTCTGCACAGTATAAAAAAAGCCTATGAAATTACATTATATTTTCATTAAAGATTAGAAGTTGTATTTTAATTTGAGATCATATTTTCTTTCTTATTTTAGGTAATTCTGCAGTTTTTTTCAGACATGTTTCTGCTGGAAGGAGAGAAGTTGTACTTACAATCTCAAGCAAAATATTTGAAGAAAGTTTCTATATACAGTCAAAACCTTTCCCTTCTGAACTTAGTTGAATTACTTTCACAGATTAACTCAAAAGCTATAAAGAGCCAGTTAATCATTAAAAAGTCATTAAGAAACCTCTGCTGTTAAAAGTAATTTGTATGCAATATACAAAGATGAGATACAAAATGAAGAGTTTATTAATAAAAACAGAGGGATAAAGGAAGCATAATTAACTTAAGTAGATTCCAGAAAGCGAAAGAGTAATGCATTCCATTAATTGCAATATGAGTGCAGGAAAAGTTAATTTAAAGCAAAAGCACAAATATTTGAATGACAGATGAGTTCAAATTAATCCTTAAGAGAAAGACTTGATAATTCATCAAAACATAACCATTTCATTTTTACATACATATAACAGTGCTTCATTTCCAAAGTTTAAATATCCCTACAGAAAGAATCAATGTAATTATTAAGCTTTACAACTATTTGTATTATAATAAAAGGTTAGAATTCCATGGGAAATAATTCTTTTAGGATTCATTCATTCTTTGGAACAGAAGAGCAATGAACCAAGTAGAAACAAACATCATGAAAGCAATACTTTTGTTAATTGAACTAAAAAAGATATAATTTAAATTCAATTTGTATCTAAGTGTAGTGGAGCAGCAATAATGTACAATTCAGCTGGATGTATTAAATCCCCTGCTAGTTTTATGAAGTCATAAAATACATGAAGCAATTTTTGCATTCGATTGAGAGACATATTTATTTATCTTTTTGCCCCTAATTTAAAATTGAGAACCGTGTAAATGCATTAATCTTTAGGTTCAAAAGAACAAAAATACAGATTATTTGATACAGTTGTTTGGTAGTGCTGCAGGGCATATTATAATTATGCATATTAATAAAGTTATGTTATAATGATTTTTTTTTTTTATATGTGGAATGTATTCATTTTAGAACTGTAGCATATATGAGTTCTATAATGCTTTCTACTTCAGTGGTAAAGAGTACAGTTTAAAAGCTTTGTCATTCTGATTTCAAAAAATCTTACTAACAATAAATAGAGTCTTTGAATTATGCTCAGTTATATATTTTCTAATATTGGTTAAGTCTGATTTTGCCACAATGTTTTATTAAATTACATATTGAGCATCTAATCCAGCAGCTCCTGGAATGCCTGAATCCTGTTTATCCAGTAAAATGCCTTGCTAATCCATAATAATAGTAGTAGTAGTAGTAGTAATAATAATAACAACCACAATATAATATGGAATAGGTACCGGTCCTATAAAATGGTCTTTAGTATTGGGAACAAGATAATACATTTCAACTGCAATGCAGACAAGAACAGAAGACCTCTTAAATAGTCCTTGGATTAAATCAGATCATGGATGAAGAAGGGATGATAGGATCAGCTGAATATCTTGACAACGGGCAGAAAGGCATACTTTTAGTGGGTTTTGGCTGAATTCTATTTCATGCAACCCAGTTGTCCAGCACTGGAATGCCTGTAGAATCTCCATGGATGCGAAAATTGCATGAAGAAGAATGTGGAAATGCAAAGAGCCTACTTCTTCTGTTCTTCATTCCCATAAAAATGGAGAATGTCTAGGACATCTTAGATTAAAACAGAGAACAACCTTCTACCTTTCATAGGAAGAAAACTGGGTGTTGATTTCTGACAGTGATATAGATTATTTTCTTTCATTCAACTGATTTAATCTTGAAAGTAAAAGGATTTTCTACACTGAGGAGAGGAGAAGAGGCAAAATCTTGACTAAGTACAACAGGATTTTACTAGACAAATCAGTTTAGCTACTTGATTGTCAGATTCTCTGGGTATATAAAATCAATAACGTATTGGAATATTGATTTTTCATTCATCATATATTTTATTGTTTGCATATACTTCAGAAAGGAAGTATTATTACATTGCCAACTGTTGATATCACAAAAATGCTAAGAGTTAATATACTTGCTCTGAAAAAGAATAGAAGCAGAAGCTCTAAAGTATCCTGCAGTGCATCAGACACAGCATTACCAGACAGTCAAAGAGTTTATTATCCCCCTGTATTCAGCATTGGTGCAGCCTCACCTTGAGTTCTATACGGAGTTCTGGAACTAATAATTTAAAAAGGGTGTGAAGGTCCCTGAACACATCCAGAATAGGGCAACAAAGCTGGTGAAAGTGCTGGAAGGCATGTCCTATGAGGAACAGCTAAGGACTTTTGGCTTGCCTAGTTTGGAGAAAAGGAAGCTCTCTACAGCTTCCTGAGGAGGGGAAGTAAAGAGGGAGGTGCTGAAATCTTCTCCCTGTGATCCAGTGACAGGACATGTGGGAATGATTCCAAGCTGCATCAGGGCACATTCAGACTAGATATTAGGAAACATTGTTTTACTGAGAGGGTGGTCAAACACTGGAACAAGCTTGCTACAGAGGTGGTTGATGTCCTAAGCCTGTCAGTGTTTAAGAGGCATTTGGACAATGCCCTCAATAATATGTTTTAACTTTTGGTCAGCCCTGAATTGGTCAAGCAGTTGGACAAGATGATCATTGTAGGTCCCTTCCAACTGACATAGTCTATTCTGTTCTACTCTGAGAATTTACAGGTCTCTTCTGCCAAATGAATGACAATGGGATAGTCAGAACAACAGCCATGATCTATCCATGAAGATCTCACTTTAAAGACTTTCTGTTAATGATTGGAGTCTTTGTATTAATTTTATTCATATTAAATATTTAAAGGTGCTATATTTTTCCTTAGATCCAATCTAAACCTTCCCTGGTGCAACTTGAAGCCATTTCCTCTTGTCCTATCATTTTGCTTTGGAAAAGAGACTGACACCCTGCTTTCAGGTAGTTGTAAAGAGCAACAAGACCACCCCTCAGCCTCCTTTTCTCCAGGCTAAACAACCCCAGTTCCCTCAGCCACTCCTCATAAGATTTGTGCTCTAGACCCTTCAACAGCTTTGTTCTCCTGCTTTGGACATGCTCCAGGACCTCATGTCTTTCTTGTAGTGATGGGCCCAAAACTGAACACAGTATTTGAGGTGTGGCCTCACCAGTGCCAAGTACAGGGGGACAATCACTTTGCTAGTCCTGCTGGCCACACTATTTCTGATATGAGCCAGGATGCTATTTGCCATCTGGGCACACTGCTGGCTCATATTCATCTGGCTGTCAACAAACACCCCCAGGTCCTTTTCTGCCAGGCAGCTTTCCAGCCAGTCTTCCTCAAACTGCAGCATTTCACAGGGCTGTTGTGACCCACATGCAGGACCTGGCACTTAGCCTTGTTGAATCTCATATAGTTGGCCTCGACCCATTGATCCAGCCTATCCAGATGCCTCTGTAGAGCCTTCCTACCCTCAACATTCCCACTCAGCTATGTGTCATCCGTAAACTAACTTGTTTACAGATAACTTTCACTCAATCCCCTTGTCCAGATCATTGATAAAGATATTAAACAGAACTAGGCCAAATACAGGTCCCTGGGCAACACCACTTGTGACTTGTCACCAGCTGGATTTAACTCCATTCACTACAAGCTTTTGGGCTTGGTCATCCAGACAGTTTTCTACCCAGTGGAGAGTATGCCCATCCAAGCCATGAGCAGCCAGTTTCTCCAGGAGAATGCTGTGGGAAATGGTGTCAAATGCTTTACTGAAGTCTAAGTAGATAACATCCACAGCCTTTCCCTCATCCAGTAAGTCGGTCTCCTTGTCATAGAAGATCAGGTTAGTCAAGTGGGTCCTGCATTTCATAAACCCATGATGACTGGTCCTGATCATCTGGTTGTCCTGGATGTGCCAAGTGATGTCAGTAAAGATGATCTGCTCCATAAGCTTCCCCAGAACCAAGGTCAGGCTGACAGGCCTGTTATTCCCCGCACCCTCCTCCCAGCCCTTCTTGCAGATGAGCATCACATTTGTTAACCTCTAGTCAACTGGGACCTCCTCGTTTAGCCACAACTGCTGATAAATGATTGAAAGTGTTGGTGAGCACTTCCATCAGGTCCCTCAGTATCCTTGGGTAGATCCCATCCAGTCCCATAGACTTGTGTGTGTCTAAGTGGTGTAGCAGATTGCTAGCCATTTCCTCGTCAATTATGGGGCTTCATTATTCTCCCTGTCCATGTCTTCCAGCTCAGGAGCCTGGGTTCCCAGAGAACAATTCTTACCATTAAAGACCGTGGCAAAGAAAGCATTAAGAACCTCAGCCTTCTCCTCATCCTTTGTCACTGTTTCCCCCCACAACCAATAAAAGATAGAGATTATTCTTATCCCTCCTTTTGTTGTGAATATATTTATATAAACATTTTTTATTGTCTTTTAATCAGATTAAGTATCAGTCGGGCTTTGGCTCTTCTGATTTTCTCCCTTCATAACCTAATGACATCCTTGTAGTCCTCCTGAGCTGCCTGCCCCTTTTTCAAAAGATCCTAAATTCTCCTTTTTCTCTTGAGTTCCAGCCAAATATC